GCTGGGATATGTCCCGAGGGGGCGTGTTGAAGGGCAGTCCTATCCCAACATAGATAGGTGGTAGATAGGCGATGAATCCGCCGTGATAGGCGATGCCTCGGACGTGCCTCAACCTTGCCTCGGATGTGCCTCGACCTTGCCTCGGCCGTGCCTCGACCTTGCCTCGGGTCTCTCGGCCGCGTATCTCGGACTTGTTCTCAGGTCCAGGGATGGTGGACGACTGTTCGATACTTCCATTGGTACTGGTATATAAGACACGAGTTGTGCAAGTCTAAGTATCTCATCTTCGGATGGATCGGTATTCCTTCATAGGTATCTCCTAAGGTCTTCCTGCCGATCACCACTAACCTACCGATTGTAATACTTACATCGAAACCAGTCTCCTTGCCTCCTTCATATCTCAACAGCATCTCCTAAAGTCCTGCCGAACGCTAATATTACTTTTTACATTACTTGTAACAGTTTATCGTGTTCAATATCTTCGCCGCCGGCATTCCTTCCGGAATAACAATCAGCATCAGCTGTCACCGTCGCCAATTCTTCAACAGGTTATGAGCCCCGCCTAGCGCCGACAGCTATCGTCCGATTGTTATTTCTATCCCTTACGACAATGGTCAAGGATAAGCTTCATGAGCCGCTGGACCTCCACAACTACTCCATGTGGCAAATACGGTTTAGTGTGATGTGCATAGAGCTTGGGCTTGAGCAGTCTTTGCTCGCCGAGCCGTGCAATGAGGAGCAGATTCGTCAATCGCGGAAAGTCATCAACTTGCTTATCAAGAACGTGAAGGATAACCATTTGCCGATGGTCACCGGTGCCGCAAACGCGAAGAAGGCTTGGGATGCCTTGAACTCAATGTTGGCTGCCAACAACAACGCCCGCAAGGTGGCTCTACGACAAGAATTCAGCCGCTTCAAGATGGTCGACGGCGAGCCACCTCCGAAGTACTTCGCGCGTGCGAGGCAGCTGCAAAGGGACTTGTTGGGTGTCGGCCACGTAATCAACGACTCAGTAGCGTTGTCGTCACCACACTGTACCGATTGGGTAGTTGGACGGACGAGCTTGGGGTTGTTCTTGCTTTGGTGCACGTAGATGATACCATTGTTGCGTCGGAAGACCCGGAAATGGTCCGGGCAATTAAAGCCGCAATTGTGAAGGTCTTCAAGGTGCGCGACCTTGGAGAAGCGAAGGTGTTTTGGGGCATGGAAATTAGGAGGGAGAAGTCGGGTGAGATAGTGTTGTCGCAGCATAGGTATTGTTGAAGGACGGTCCTATACCAACGTAGGTAGGTGGTAGTTAGGCGATGAATCCGCCATGATAGGCGGTGCCTCGGACATGCCTCGACCTTGCCTCGGCCGTGCCTCGACCTTGCCTCGACCTTGCCTTGGGTCTCTCGGCCGCGTATCTCGGACGTGTCCAGAGGTCCAGGGATGGTGGACGACTGTACGATACTTGCATTGGTATCGGTACATAAGACCAGAGCGAGTTGGGATATGTCCCGAGGGGGCGTGTTGAAGGGCGGTCCTATCCCC